AGCTAGCCTGTGGACAGTGTCATGCATTGAATGGTGGCCAAGGGGGTTTTGCAGGTGGGAAAACAGACAGGATGGACGGTAAGAAGACACAGAAAATAAAATAAATTTCTGCCGAAAGTCTTATCGCTTTGTGTCATTTGGCAAAGAGAGTGGGCGCGGCAATTTGAAATAAACAAAAAGCAATCCTCAAAAGACAACGGACTCTGACTAAACCACCGCTGGTGAGTTTACGTTTAGTCAAGAAGGCAAGTAAACTTCGACCAATGAGAACGGCGAATAGTAAGTGATATTTACGGTCACACTGAATTTTAGTGTATATTTTGGAGTTGTCAGATACATGGGGTCCTACACACTACCGCTACCGTGAAAAGTAATAAGATCAACTCAATCAAAATTATATATATATATATATATATATATATATATATATATATAAGGGTCAAAGTGAGAGAAAGAAAAAATGATCCCAATTATGCAACAACGAAGAGAACGGATAAAAGACCACTGACCTTGAAAGATGGGCCTGTTCATGGTAGCCATACGGGGGCAGTAGTGCCGGCCGGCGTAGCCCTGAATGTGAACTTCCAGAGGCACCGGTCGGACAGAAGGTCGGAAGTTGAAGAGCCCGCGGCCGCAGAGGCCGCTCTGCCCCTGGTCTGGGGCACTCTCGGGGGAGAGTGGGACTCGCAGCCAGGCGGCCATGTCGACAGCGTTGGCGAGGGCCGTCGAGAGACCGACAATGCGCACCGTTTGGTTCAGTTGGTTAGCGATGAAGTTGGCACGGGACACAATAACCTGTCAACCGTATATACAAATATACACCGTGAGTAGATAGCTAATACACAGGAGCTGTAGTACACCCGAAGCATCTAATATCAAACGAAAATGCTGTAAGGATAAATCGGTTTATGGTATTCTCATACGACGATGCACGTTCGTAGCCTAGACGGACAGATTCTGAGCCCTAAAACTCAAGTGGTGATGTCGTTTGACTTGGAACAGTCAAAAACCAGCTGGGTACCTGGTTCGCAGAAGCTGCGGCTAAGGTACCCCCTTTTTCACGGGCGTAAGCCGTCAGCCTGTTCTATTGGTCCTGTCCGGACTGACTCGGGTCTCGTGCGTAGCGCTTGGTAGGCAGGATGGAGGTCCATAGCGTGGTTAATCGTCCCGGTCAAGGACCAACTTTCCGCCACCGTTCTGGCAATCTTCTTATTGGCTAGATCGATTGCCCTTGCCTTTTCAAAGGCAAAATTATAATTCCGCCGTTGCACACAACCTAAGTAATCCGTTCTTATCAAAAACGCATTTCATGAGATAGCACATCTACGATAGTTGGCTTCCCAGGTGTCACACAGAAAGTCCATTCACAGCGGTTTTAGGAGAGTTTGGCAGCGGACTTCGGCCCGCCTAGGCTGAATGCCGAGATCGATGAAGTTACAAGGTGTTAGGCGAAGCCGTCGTAACTGACTCATTCGTGTGCCCCCTTAAAGATGCGCTCACACATCGTTCTAGCTATCCGTCCAGACGGCGAGCGCGTGCCAAGATCGCGCCAGCCACTGGCAGGATTGGAGGGATGCCCAGCCACTCGGATGAGTCAGGAGTCCAGTGGACGTGCTAACAGCTCAAGGGCATAGTCTGATTGGCTCAATCCCAGGCCGGCCTTGGACATTTCTGTATGCAACGTTTGTGACCAGACTTTGGCAACGGTAGGATGTAGGACCCTACATCCTGCGTTTTGCCCCTCCCATAAAATCCCGCCTACCACAATTCCCGTATGACACGGTCCACGGCCTACCTCAAGCTAGTTGGGGTGCTACACCCTACCGTTGCCCAGACTTTCTCTGTAAGGAACTCGCCAACAAGCAGTGTGTTTCTCCAATTTTGCTGGTGAGTTCTCATTTTGGGGATTCGACTGCGAAGAGTTGTAGAGGGGGCCACCAGCTAGGCGTTACGGCCAGAACACAAAACAAGGATCCCCTTTGGCCACGAAGAGGTGTCGAGGGTAGCGTAATTCTGTCCTCCGGTTGGCTGCAGTGTGTTTCTGCCTATTTGCAGAAGATTCGCATACCACTGCGTTTCAGTTCAGTTCAGTTTATTGAGGGAAATGTAGATCTTCACCTTTGAACTCCCTATTTGTTTACAAGCAACTGCAAAATCTCAAAAACTGGAAACTGTATCATAAAGGGAGCAAATAATTGGACAAGCGTCAAATCTGTACAGACAAACAAACTGTCTCGAATGTTACTGGCACGATCAGTTGTAGAACGGTCGTTTCGAGTGCAGGGAAATAAATAATATACCCGGTGACAAAAGTTGCATAGGTGCATGTCAGCAAGCGTATGCGATGGGTTGGGGACAATAAGAAATTCAATTTAAAATGTTACTGAAATATAGCAAGTAGTAATATAACAACGGAATTTGTCGAGGTTACAGAGATCGGGTGGTAATTTAGTGGACATTGCTACACAAATCCAGCTTCCTCTTAAAGACCTCGACGAAAGCAGACATAACGACATCAACAGGCAGGGCATTCCAGGGCATAACGGGTGCTTACTGTGGTAGCTTGAGATTCGGCGCATGTTAGTGGCTTTCCTACGGGCTACCGTTTTAGATGCTGGATGGGTTTTCGGTGGACGAGTGAAGAACTGACAGTTACCCAACAGGATAACGGAAAATGAGATAGCTGCAAGCCAAAGGCCGCGCCTTTCCTGATGTGGATTTAAAGCAAGGGGAACTGAGCGATACCTGAAAAGGGTTGGCGCTTGGTAAGTACTAACCTCCGGCCCTACAGCTTTCTCAGGCATTTTGATCAGCTCAGGACACGGCAGACATATTGAGGCGAGCGGGACAACGTTAAAACGTGTCTAACCAAGTCTCCGTAAGGAGGCAGACACGGGCAGAATGACCTAACACTCAGACCGTAGTGTACATTTTGCGGAGGCAAGTGTGTTAACGTGGCCATATGTCGCAGGCTTCTAGGAGAACAGCACTTGAGCTGGGCTTGTTTTACGTAGGCGCGTAGATGTTTCATGCAAATGCAACTTTTCCAAAGGCTGCGGTTTCGGATCCTTCATAATGTGAGATGTTGACGTCTAGTCCTCGTGACTCAATTTTTTTAGGTGAAGCTCCGATATTCCTTCGAGAACTTAAGTGGGTCGTCATCAACTTTGATGAGGTAACTGCGCAGAGTTCCGATCATTTCACTGGAGTAGTGAAACAGATTACGCGATACCTGCCTCGTTCATTACTCACGTTTGAGGTCGACGCACGTCTGTGCACACCACACACATCCCGTCACCTAACGAGCCATGTGATTGGGTGAGGCGGGCGTCTCGAAGCCAACACGGGTGCGGGTTTCACGAGCGACACATTCAAAAGCAGTTATTGCAGTCCGCGGTCAGTCAGAATTACGTCCTCAGACGGTAACCGTGACAGCCAAACTCACACAAGTCCAAGGGGTTCTAACTGCCGATGAGTCCCACCTCGCTCGCGGTGTCCATTTAGTTTTCTATAGTTTTATTATAGTTTGATAA